GTATACATCAATTTTCTAAAAAATTATAAAAAAATAAATCATTATAAAATATACGTAATTTACTACAGAATCAGTAAATACATATACAAACCTTATAATAAACGTATCATTTCCTTATTTAAATTTCTTATAGGGGCTAATATAAAAGTAAAATTAGAAATTAATTTAAAGATTCAAATAGATTATTTGATTTTTTTGAATTATTATTTATATAGTATTTTTAATCATTAACAAATATAATTTATTTTATTAGAATATGATATCAAATCATTTATATTTAATAAAGAATTAATACAAATCAAATAAACCTATAATAAATAAAAGAAATAATATTTTAATTATCTAAAAATTATATTTTGTAATTATTAAAAAACTATAACTTAATTAAATATTAAAATTATAAATATATAGTAATTCATATTGAAAAAAAAATAAAATTAATTATATAAGATTACTAAAATTAGATTTATTTAAAAAATATTACTTAATTTATTTAAAGATTTTATTATCAAATTATTTATTATCTGAATAAGAACCTTACCTAATATATATATTATTTTATTTATTTATTATAAATTTATAATAATTTTTTTTTAATTTATTTATTAATAAATCCTAAATAAATTTTATATAAAGTAATCTGATTATATATTAAACAAGAATTAATTTAAAATATATATTAGTTAACTATTAAAATAATAAAAAAAATTATATATTAATATATATAGATTTTTTAAATTTTAATAAATACTTATCTTAACTTTACATTTAATTAATAATTAGTAAGATCAAAAAATTATTCTTTTTATTTTATATAAATAAGCAAATGATTATTAAATTTAAATTTTATAAATAATTTATTTTAATAGTAAATTATAAATAATCAATTCAGATTATAAATTAATAATTGATAATAGAACTAAATAATAGATTAATTTATAATTACTTAAAATTTTATAATCTTAATTCAGAAATTTGACTTATCTGATAGCCAATGCTACTCAAAATACTAAAACTATGTAAAACTAATATTTAAAAAAATCAAGTTATATAATGAAATCTATGGTAAAATTAGTAAAACTTAGTAAAATCGAAAACCTGAAATTGGTAAAACTAGTTTAGGACTATAAAAATGGTTTTGATAAAGCATTATTAGCTATCATAATGTACTTAATCTGTGATAAAGTTAATGCAATAACATTTGAAACATTATAATAACTTATGTAATAAATATTAAACATTTTATAATTTTATGATTTTATATAAATTTCTAAAGTAATCAAAAGAATAAAAATACAATAAAATTAAGATACAATATAATAAATTATTTTAAATATAATCAAAATAGAATGTCTTAATTACAATATAATTGTAAACTAATAAATTTATATGTTAATATTATTCATAAATACTACATGTATACTAATAATTTTTGTTATATAATTATATTTTTATAATTTAAAAAAATTACTTCTTTATAATTTATATATACAACTAATTAATACTTATCAAATATAAATAAAAATAAAAAATACATATAATTTAAATTTTTATTATTTAAAGAGATACTGTATATTTAAATAATAAAATATATATTTGGTATATATAATATGTAAATTGGTTAATTATTTATAAAATTTAGCAGATTATGTCAAGATACAAATATAGCTTTACATAATAAAAGTTTGAAAGCTAATCATGTGATTTTATTTATGATAATTATATATAAATAAATGTAAGGTAAAGGACAAGGATATTATTTTATTATTGTATAACAAGCAGTATAATAAATATAAGAAATTAATATAATTAATAAAAAAATAATTACTTTTTTTTAAATAAATTTTAATAGAATAGAAGATTAATCAACTGAGACAATGTTCAGTTCTACGAAAATTGCTTCGGGTTAATATTATTTTCTTTCATATAAAACATAAATTGTTCAGGTATCTCTTCCATGACAGCTTTTGGCAAAGAGTAACGAGCCGCCTCTGTACTGAACTTGTTCATCGCAATGAATTGTACGATGTCTCTTCCAACTGTTACAGGCGCATCAGTCAATGGATCGATTTCTTGCTATTTGAATCATAAATTAGCGTGTATTCATTCATCCTTGTTAGCGAATATCAAACGAAAAACCGGAAAACATACCACTGACAATGGTTTATCATCCGCATCAAGAATATTCATATTTGTAAAATCAGCTTCACCTATACCAACAATAACAATCGAAAGTGGAAGTTTCCTAGCCCTTACAATAGCACGAATTGTTGTGTCCATATCCGTAATGACTCCATCTATCGTAAACAAAATACTTAATAGATCATAAAGGGTAATACCCGAATCAACAAAAATTTACCTGTAATGATTAATAATATATAATATACGTCCTCGCCTTTACTTATTTCGCTTTTAATAGTTGCTGCAGTATGGTTAATAATCTATGAAATCCATTACATAAGTATTACGATATATTTCCCCAAAAGAGACTAAAATAAGCCAAATATTAAAATATACCGGTGAAAAGTTCGTTGGACCATCCAGTACTACATTATTGATTGTTTTACGATATACTTCCATTATACCATCTACACCAAAAACTTCTGGCTAACGATTAAGATAACTAAAAACCATAAACAAAACCTTGAAAAATAAATTATAACATATATAATTGTGAGATACTCTTACGTTTTCAAAATTATCGTTCAGTGGGTAAGTATGCGATAAATTTCCGTTGAATTTGCCTCCAAATCCATATACCGGAATCATTTTATCAGAATCGTATTTTTCTAATCTAAGATCACAAATTATTAAAAAGTTAAGCTAACAAGATCAATAAAAAATTTTTATGTATCTTACATTGTACCAACGCTACGGATCGCTTGCTGGTAATCATTTTCTCTGTTTCCTATATAATGTGAACTCTCTGGTGATCTTGGGTCACCATTTGACTCCGTAAAATCAATGGCTACTACTAAATTAATTTGTGTGCCACCAGCGATATAATCCAAAAATGTTGGCATTTCTTTTAAAATTACTTTTACAACTGTAAGTATAGAATCTTTAGGAGCATTTCCATTAAATCCGGATGGAATCCTCAATTGGAAGGTTCTGGTATCTGTCTCTTCTAGAAGCTCTCTAAGGGTTAAGGTACATTGTCCAAGAAGAACATGAACTAATAATATATATAAATAAAACTTTAATAAAATAAAGTATGTACAGTAATTTATAATTTTAAATAAGATAATACCTCCGTTTCCTTTGTAATTTTTGATTTGTATCCGCAATGCTCTGTCCAAGTCACCATTACATAATGTACTTTCCTTTACTAAAGTCAATATATATATATATATATAATTTTATTAATATAAATGTTTAGAGGGCTAAAATAGTAAGAATAAATGCTTACTATCAAATTCGGGCCATAATGGATTCATTGACGAAATATTTGGAGATTGATAGACTGGAGCAAACGTCCCGTCTTCGTTAGCGCGACTTAAAACCAGAAAGGCTTGGGGTGTTGATCTCAAAAATAATTTCTAAAAAAAAAAAAGAAAAAAGAAACTCGTTACTTTCGTTCAAGTATTCTATAATAAATTTGGAAGATCAAGGATGATTTACCTTTGTGATATTCTGAGCCTGGAATTGTAACCTAATGATATAAATAAACGAAATAATTACATTAATAATTCTTATAAATTGAGTTTCTTTGCAAAATTAATTAATTATTTAAATTAGTACTTCACGTCTCTACTCGACTCTTTGACTTCCATGGCCATAATAGTTATGAAATTATTACTTCTATTTTCTGACATTAATCTATTTTTCACTTTTTTACCTGCAGAGGAAACTATGGATGAAATTGAAATTAATAATGTTATGTGCTGGTTTTATAATAATAATGCAAAAAAAAATAATACCAATTGATCCCAAATCATAATCGAAATATCCAATGACTTCCTGCGCATTCCAATCCGGATTATTGGGTTTATTAACATTAATGCATATAAATCTAAAAATAATTGACGAGAAATCAGAAAGAGAAAAAAAAAAGTATTTTTCTAAATAACAATAACCTGAATGTTTGCAATTCCTCAAAGTAATAATCAACAATTATACCGGTAACAAACTTTGGTTTCGAATAATTCACTATTACTTCCGTTTTATATGGGGTCAAATCCCAATTTTGGGTTCTTGAATCTTTGACTAGTAGTATTACTTGTGTCGCAAGGGGGTAAGCTAATTCACACGAAACTTTTAATTCTAATTTTGCATGTGCATGTTTTTGTTCAGATACCTTAGACATCACGATTAAAAATGTTATTGTGATAAATTAAACATAAAGTCGGTTTTAATTAAATTCATCGTATGTTATGCTATTTTTACATTGTACATTGTGCACATTCTAAAAATGGATAAAAATTAGATTAAATGAATCTAGATTTGGAAAAGAAAAATGTGATATACGTAGGTGACCATGTTACACGGAATTCTGATTTTGTCACATGAAACTGACCATTCAAATCACATATGGGCTAATTTTGCTCGACTTCGATTCTGTCACATGTGATGATTACAAATTTGTATTACAAATTTGAGAGTA